TTATTATTATTATTATTATTACCCTCCTCCATACTCAGCACTAATCTTTTGTCCGTGCACCAGATAAATTTAGATTTCTTAAACATTTTGTACAAAACAGCAGTTTCTTGCTGCCAAAGGCAAAGTTAGGTTTAAGCAAACAGTCCCTGAGTCCCTCTAAAAAACAAGCCCCTCAGCAAAAAGAGGCTAAAAGCCACATTAGTTGCATTTACAGGTTTGTCTCTGAATCATGTCAGCCATTGCTTTTATTAAAAATATTGATTCGTGGAGCTTACTCATTATAATGAGTGAGAATGAGAAAAGGCCACAGCCTACACCTGAAATGCGTTGGAAAAGGATGCAACGTTTTCTCATCTGACAAGTTTCTTTGCTCTTTGTCTAAAATGTAACATTTATTAGCTGCATTGTCTCCAGATAAGAATCCAGAGTGTGGAACCCAGTATCTGCATTCAGTCCGTTCATGCATGTGTTAGCTTTCTGCGCTGGGAGGAGCCCACACAAAATGAATTTATGAGAACTCGTGTGAACCTCTACATGCAGAAGTTTTATGTCGAGCCTCTTTTGCATGCTGGGATGCTGCACGTGGAGCGAGTGAGGCGAGAGACTGAATGCAAACCAGGCAAAACCGAGCTACTTTCACACCCTCACTTTGTGGAGCTAAACAACATTATGCTACAAGAATCCTGTTTTTCATGTTGCGGCGTCTGTCTGACAGCATCATCCATTATTTGTCCGTGTCTGAAAAGGTTAATGAAGTGCTCTTTTTTTAATACAAGAGAGCAAAGCAGGGGGAAAAAAATCCCCCCCAAAACAGAGCCATGCATCATAGCTGTAGTAATTACCATATTGTATTTACACATTGTAACAGGCTGTATTGATCTCCATATTTTGATGTATACTAGTGGATTACACATTTCTGCAAGCATGCCAACAGTGTTTAATGTTCCTGTAATCCTCCACTCGCCACAAACACAACAGCAATTATAAAGTTGTCTGTTATTGGACGTGCGTCGCTGTTCCAGGGAATGAGAAAACCCTTAATTGGGGTTTGTAGTTCAGACAGCATTCGAGTGCGTTTGATTGGATTGGTCAGCATGTGGCTCACGTATGTAACATTATATCTGCCTTCTGTGATTGATGAACTGGTGTTAGTGGGCCTGCCCACCACGGCTGCTGTTACCCGATCGAGCGCTGACAAATGACTCACCGGCATGAGTGAACAGAAACACTCGACCGCACGCTGCCACGCCGAGACGGATATTGACTGTGAGAGCAGTGTGTCTTCTCATTCTCTCGGCTGTCTGGTGACATAATGGCCACACGGAGATTGTCACGCTAAAGGCCATCTTTAAACCTAACGTAAGACGCGTGGACTTTTCTTTATACAACTTTACACAACTGCTTTTATCGACACGTTGACATCAGAAACGTCGCGAGAGCTTCGGCACTTTTAACAGCCTGTAATTGAGAGAAAACTGAGCTAGGCTTTCACAGTTATGAAACTCGACAAATAAGCTGACAAAGGAGTCAAACTCTGCCTTATATACTACCTTATATATTCTTAGTCACCAAAAAGACTCAGACCATAGAGAGGATGGATCAAAGCTTATAAATGCAGGGCAACCATTAGGATAGGACAGTAGAAATATATGACACTGTTAACGATAGAACTTAAACACCAAAACATTCAGTAATAATGCTCTAATATTGAAGGTAAAATGATCATCATGCACATAAGTGAACTTTCAGTTTTCCCATTGGACTGTTTTAGGTTCTTAGTAGGGATGGGTATCGTTTAGGTTTTATCCGATACCAGTACCAAACCGGTACTTTTGAAACGGTGCTGGTGCTTAAAGAATGGAAAACACAAACTTTGTCCAAAAACCTCTCATGTTCAGCTGTTTTTTTGTAAAAAGATAACAATGTTAGCCTTTTCTGCAGCTATGGGGCATATATGGTATCACTCTTG